GATTAATATATTTTTGTTTTAGCTGCACTCCGGGAGACATATAAAAGAAAATATTGTGTTATAGAAACTAATTAGTGCACAAGAAATAAAAAATAAGAAAATATTTCTGCATTATAAATTAAATTGATTTGGTAGGATATGTTGGATGGGTGAAATAAAAACTCATTTGTGACAAAGGATAGGAAATTGTGCTTCTATTCCTTTTTTCTTAACATAATAGACATTAAAAGTGTGATAAAAATACATAAAGGTATCAATTCTGAAAAGAAAGACATACTGTTTTAAAGAATTCTATAAACAAAGTAATAATTAATTCAGGTTTTTATTCACAGGATGTCAAAAATATAAGTTGTTAGGATGTATCACTGTTTGTCCAAAGAATAATCACTTCAATCAAGATTGAATAGACAGCAGCTAAGTTAACTAAGTTCAATAAACAAAATTTCCACCAGTCATTTTCTTTTGCACTAAATTCAAACAAATTTGTGTTCATTTGTGTTTTATTATTTTAGTTAGTTCTGAACGATACTATTTTGATAAGTTTCTATAAAATTAGGAAGAAATACATCAGATGTTTGAGACAGTTTACAAATGAATCAAGAACTAGTAAATAGCTTAGAAACAACATCCACAAACATTTTGACTGGTGTAGACGACGGGTAGCTTTATTAACTGTCATTTCAAGAAAAACTTTATTATTTAGTATATCACTGATTTATCGAAACAAAAAGTGAAGTCATCTAATGTGCGTACCTTAGAATTGTTTCTATGGTTTATTACTACTCTTGAGTAAGCCTAAAGCAGAAAAAATCTTATAAAGAAAGCGCAAAACAAGGCATAAAGACCCCTAACGACTCTAAGGCAGCAGAAATTCAAGTACAAGAAGCACCTCTCCTACTGCTTCTCTCGAAATATTGATTTTCTAAGATTGTTTGTTTTTATAATTTCGCGCAAAGCTACACGAGGGTTATCTGCGCTAGCCGTCACTAATTTAGCAGTGTAAGACTAGAGGGAAGGCAGCTAGTCATCACCATCCGCCGCCAACTCTTAGGATACTCTTTTACCAACGAATAGTTGGATTGACCATCACATTATAACGCCCCCACGGCTGAAAGGGCGAGAATGTTTGGTGGGACGGGGATTCGAACCCGCGACCCTCAGATTGCGAGTCGAGCGCCCTAACCACCTGGCCATGCTGGGCCTGTTAGTGTCATTACTACTGTAGTTTCATGTTTTCACCAGTCAAAAGTCAATTCCAAATATTAATAATCTGTAAAGTTCTTGAAATCCATGTTTGCTGGATGTGAACTGATGAAGAAAATGTAACCTACACTTAAGTATAATAAAATCTCCTTACCTACGTTCTTCAACGAGCTACCGCAAGTACTACACTTGAAACACTCCGCGTGCAGATTTTTGTCCTTCACTCTCACGAATACCCCACTGAAATGCACGTGTAATACGATTAATACGAAAAAAAAATGTACACTAATCGGAACTATTTTAAATTTGTTTTATAAACTTATATCTGAAACAATGATAGGAATATAAATACAAAAGTGACAGTCTCTTATTTTTGTCAACGAACATTCAATGAAAGGTGTCACACTTCAATATGTTGAATGATGCTAGACATGAGGGAATTTAATTTATTGCAATATTGTTGAATTCATTATTTGGTTATGTTTCTATAAGGGTTTCTTGCCATATTTAACAAAGGAAATGTTTGAGATTTGCTGACTAACTACCTGGAGAAGACACGTCTTTTGATAAACTAAAGCAAATAAATTCACAAAACTATAATTTCCCAAGCTGATAAACATTATAAAAAAACTAACCCTTATGAGTCATCGTTCGACTTGTGTTTTCCCAAGCTGATAAACACTATAAAAAAACTAACCCTTATGAGTCATCGTTCGACTTGTGTTTTCCCAAGCTGATAAACACTATCAAAAAACTAACCCTTATGAGTCATCGTTCGATGTAGCGCTTAAAATAGATACAGCAAACTACTTCAGGTATCATTCTAAAGTTCTGTTAAAATAATACAAATATTTGATTATGACACAGAAGTCAGTATCAAATGTTCTTTCATAATTCCACGATTCCTGGTGATGGTATAGCTGACAGTATCAAGTCTTATTGCTATGTTGTTTGCCAGATGGTACAGTATTTAATGGTGACAGAGCTCTCAGTGTTGAATCTGCTTCTTATTACTGGTTAAACAATACAGTTCCTGACGGTGCTATAGCTAACAGTATGGTGAAAGTTTTACTTTGTTGATTACGAAATCATACAATACTTGATCATGAACAAACTGGTATGATTATTAAGATTACTTTTATTCTTTAATTGTGAGGTGCCATAGCACCGGTTGTGACAGAGCTGACAGCATCGGGTCTTCTTATGGGTTTTCCTGTTGCCCGTGCTTATGAAATAGTACAGCTCTCGGTTGTTACAGAACTGACAGAATCTGTCTTCTTGTTATTCGAGCAGTACTCGGTTGTGACATAGATGAAAGTATCGTATATGCTTGCTAAACGTACGTATGGGGTGGTATAGTAGTGTTGTAAAAGAGCTGGCAGTATCGTGTATTTTTGATACTCATACCATATAGAATGACATAATAGTTACTAAAATCATAAATATTATTCAACGTTAAACTGGTATACAATTAAAAACGTTTTATTTAGGCCTATCTATGGTCTTCAAAAAGTTGACGACTCTACATGTTTCGACGGTACAACGTGCCAAATTACTATTAGTATAATAGTTACTACTCTTGTCCAGCCCTGCAAGGATATTCAGATTCATCATTTAAAAAATTAAAGTTTAAGTTTGCCATATGGAATGATATCCAGACTTTTACTCTGTTGTTCCGTTTAATGATTTCAATAGTCCAAAGATATTTTTAAAGTCAAAAGTTCATTCATTTACAGCTGGTTGGTTGAGGATATTTAGTATTTTGAGTACAATGAAATGAAACATTGAAATTGATTGTATTTTAAGCTTAACTGAAAATAATACGAAGAAAGAACACGTTAATGTTGAAATTTTCCATTTAAATAGCAAGGGATTATATATATATATATATATATATATATATATTTATTTTAAACAAAATATTAAAAATTAAAGAGGTCGCCTGCTTACAAAAATAAAATAAACAGCCTTGAAGCGTTTTCATTAGGTTGAAAATGAAGATTTTTTTTCTAAATTTTAACTGCGCCAATGAGATGTTTAGGCAAAGCAAAATACTCACTATTGTATACGTATTAAAAATCCTAAGTAGCATTGGATAAATTCTATTCACAAAATAATATTGCTGACAAACTAAAACTTCATTTGTAAAATCAAAATGTGTGAACTTTAAGCGATATTGGTGTATTTTATATACCTTTCTAACTGTGTAAATAGAGTAACAAAAAGAAAAAGGAACGCAAGAAAAAAGTAAAACAAACAAACTCGGACTTACACGAGCAATCGACCGCATTCGGAACAAATATTTTGATTGGTTGAAGGTTCGGCGGGTTTTTCGGGAGCAGGTTTCATAATAGGAGTTTCCACGTGCTTTATAGCTGTAGCATAAGGATCTAGGAAACAGACGAGGCAGCATAAGTCAATGGAATTATCTCGAACTCGAGAAATATTGAAATAACTTTGATTTTTTTTTGTATCACTCTACGTGTTTTTGATAATAAAATATTAAACGATATAATTTGCTACAGTGTTATTATTCGTTTTTCTTTGAAAACATACAACATAAATATATTTGGGGCGCTTATCGTTTCGGAGTTGTATTTGATTTAACAATAGGTTAGTTTCAAAAATGAGTACAAAAATGTAGTACTAAACTACGCTAGGATTTGTGCTTATACACTTAAGTAACTCGTGTAATGTTTTAACTAACTGAATCGACATTACGTGTTAATATGAAAAGACACTAAGTCATAAATACGAGAAGCTAACTTGCAAAAAATCTAAACAAAATCTTCGCCTTATATGAATCAATTGGTAAAAACTTTTATATCATTGATTTCAACAAACATGAATAGCAGTTTCTAGTAAATTGTATTAACCTATAACATACATCATATATAATTGCAGTAACATGTACGCTAATAAGAAAAACCTCCAGAACTTGTTGTGAAATACTGAAAATAGTTAATATAAGAAGACTCAAGAAAGCTTAAGTTTTTCCTTGCTCAGAGATTATTTGAGTATAACAAAAGGATTTGATATATCATATATCTAATAGTTTAAAATAAGGTTAATGGTAAGTCAATGTTATATTTAAATGACCAATAACATGGATTTTTATGTTTTTTTTTATCACAAAAAATTAAGAAAAAGTATAAAGTGGCTATGGTATATTGTATTATGTATACGTATAAATAAAACCTATGCTAAAACCGTAATACAATAAATGCAAGTTAGTAAAAAAAATTCGTAAAAATGTATATGAATATGGAAACTTCAAACTTACCCCTGGCTAGGCGAGGCTTAGACCTAAAGCTAAGAAGGAGAAGGCAGGCATAGATATTAGAAGAAGAAACAAAAAGGAGACTTACTGTTAGCCAAAAGAATGGCAGGCAAAAAAAGTACGAGAAATATTATACTAGCTCCCTCTGGATAAGAAAGATCAACTAATAACTGAATTTTCAAGCAATATAAGTGCTCATCAGTTAGGTTGATGATAGGCAGAAGATATTTGTATCTGTTACGAATGGAAGTATGTCTATTTGAGTATAATTGTGTGAATAGTTTGTTAGTTAGAGTTCGTTCGAACCAGAGGGATTAAAGAAAAAGTGTGAAAATCCTCAGTGAGATTACCCTAGCATGAGAGTCATCAATTAGTCAATGTGAACAAGAATAAACACACGAAATACCATGTCAAATTTCTTATTTTTCTTATTAATATTAAGCTGATCATAGGATCGAATATTAAAGCCACTATTGAAAATTCTCTTCTTATGAAAGTTCTAAATACTATGCAAAAAACAACCTCAAAAAATAAGCAAACTAAAAGTTAGAGTTTGTATGTTTAATTTCAAAAGTTAGCAAAATTTAGTATATTTCATTTTTCCTACAGCTTGCACATGTACAGGCAGCAGTTGCCAGCAATCTTAGTGATTTTTTTAATAGGCGTGTGTTTGTAAATTGGTGTGATTTCAAATTCGATGACGAGGAACCCACTTTGAGACTAATAATGGTTGGAGACGGCTTGAATGGAAACCAGATTCACAGAACACAATAAAAAACCGTCCCATGTTTTTCACCATTGCAACCAAAAAAAAAACCATAGTATATCTATTAAAAATACAGTCATTTT